CAAGTTACAGTCTAAACAAGGGAAATATTAAAACCAGTTTTGGAGACGTAAGGAGGCAAATCTTGCAGTATGTGGCTAAAATGAAAAACAACCCAACCCCCACTGCTTAGAGTCATTTATACTCCAAGGGCTGGTGCAATGCCCCCCCCCCTCAAAAAAAAAAAACAACCTCCCCAAAACTGTTCAGTTTTCTTGCCTTTCTGTTTTTGCACCTTGGCAAACCAGTAGTGTGTAAATCAACTAATTGCTTCAAGGTTGTTATTTTAAAGGGACTATGGACGGAGTCTATGGCTTGCATATTAATTTCTTAATTTCTGCAGGGGTCTGTTTTGGGACCGGTTCTGTTAAATATCTTCATCAACTATTTAGATATTGGCATAGAGCGTATGCTTATTAAGTTTGCAGATGATATCAAGCTGGGAGGGGTTGCAACTGCTTTGGAAGATAGGGTCATAAGTCAAAATGATCTGGACAAACTAGAGAAATGGTCTGAAGTAAATAGGATGAAGTTTAATAAGGACAAATGCAAAGTACTCTACTTAGGAAGGAACAATCAGTTTCACACATACTGAATGGGAAGCGACTGTCTAGGAAGGAGTACTGCAGAAAGGGACCTAGGGGTCATAGTGGACCACAAGCTAAATATGAGTCAACAGTGTGATGCTGTTGCAAAAAAAGCAAACATGATTCAGGTGTGTTGTGAGTAAGATATGAGAAGTCATTCTTCCACTCTACTCTGTGCTGATTAGGCCTCAGTTGGAGTATTGTGTCCAGTTCTGGGCACCACATTTCAAAAAGATGTGGAGAAATTGGAGAAGGTCCAGAGAAGAGCAGCAAGAATGATTAAAGGTCTAGAGAACATGACCTATGAAGGCAGACTGAACGAATTGGACTTATTTAGTTTGGAAAGGAGAAGACAGAGAGGGGGCATGAGAGTGGGTTTCAGGTATCTAAAAGGGTGTCAAAAGGAGGAGGGAGAAAAATTGTTCTCCTTGGCCTCTGAGGATAGGACAAGAAGCAATGGGCTTAAACTGCAGCAAGGGAGGTTTAGGTTGGACATTAGGAAAAACTTCCTATCTGTCAGGGTGGTTAAACCCTGGAATAAATTGCCCAGGGAGGTTGTGGAATCTCTGTCACTGCAGATATTTAAGAGCAGGTTGGATAGCCATCTAGCAAGGCTGTTCCATGGGTTCCCAAACGGGGGGGGGGGGGACCCCTTTGGGGGGCTTCTAGTGTTCTATGATTCTATTAACATTCGCTGACTTGCAGAGATATAACTGAGAACAAAGTTTGGCTGTCCCATTTAATGTGATATATGCCATCAAGTGTCAGCAATGACCCTATGCTATATATTGGCCAACCTGGACAGTCTTTGAGTCAAACGATAAATGGACAAAAATCAGACATCAGGAAAGGTAACACACATAAACCTGGAGGGGAATGTTTTAACCTTCCTAGACATTCAATAATGGATTTAAAAGTAACCATTCTTTTACAAAGGAATTTTACCACCCAAATACAGAGAGAGACTGCTGAACTAGAATTCATCTACAAATTTGCCACTGTCAACCTGGGCTTGAGCAAAGGTATCAACTGGTTAATACATTACAAAGGCAATTTCCCCTGCCTTTGACATTCACATTTTCACATCAAAAGCTATGAATTAAACACATCCAGCCTACTTAATTAGCTTCATTAACATGGGTCCTATAATTGACATATAATTGCTTTTGCTGTTATATGTACCTTATATTCTGTTATTTCCACTGCAACTCATATGATGAAGTGGGTTTTACCCACAAATCTCATGATTCTATATATTTGTTAATCTCTGAGCTCTGGTCTACACTAGGCAGTTATTTCAAAATAACTCCCCGTATTTTAAAATATCAAGTGGAACGTCCACATAACCAAGCCCATTATTTCTAAATGAGGGTCTGATTATTTAGAAATAATAACCCCTGCATTCCACGAGGATTAACACTTATTACAAAATAGTTCTTTCAAAATAATGGTAGTGCGGATGTTCCAGTGCTGCTATTTCAAAATAATTACTCCCCAGTGCTTCCTGGGGCTCTATGTCAAGGTAGTGTATCTACATTAAGGGAGCCTGCCTCCGACTAATTGTGAGGCTTCCCTGTAGAGTGGACACACTATTTTGAAATACAGGCAGTCCCCGCGTTACATGGATCCGACTTACATCGGATCCCTACTTACAAACGGGGTGAGGCGACCCCACACTAGCCGCTTCCCCCCAGCAGACCAGGGAGATGCGAAGCTAGCGCCCCCCGCCCAGCAGACCAGGGAGACGCGGAGCGGCTTTTCTCAGCAGACACCTCAGCTTGAGAATAAAGGACTGAGGGAAGTGAGGTGTGGGAGAATAAAACTGAGCTCTGGAGAAATGTTTGGCTAGAGTTTCCCCTACAATATGTACCAGTTCCGACTTACATACAAATTCAACTTAAGAACAAACCTACAGTCCCTATCTTGTACGTAACCCAGGGACTGCCTGTACAGTGAAGAAATTGCTTGTGTTAATGAACTTAATCAGGTAAGGGTGGAATTGGATCATTCACAGCTTTGAAAGAGAAATTGAAATAACCCAATTGTAGAACAGTAGAGTGAGAAACAATGCCAGATTTTGTCTGCATTGGCCTGACACATTTAAAAAAGACTCCTGTGTGTTCTGCGAACCACACGGAAGTGTTTTAAACTCGGATAACACAGTGGCCCCAGAGTACTCCAGAAAGTGACATCTTCTGACCTACATTGCAGGTCAAAGGGAATGTAACACAGGCATACCAGATTCCAGTAAGGTGATAATTGCCCGTTTTCTCTGCATGGGGCATACTAATAGAAAACCAACTGCAATCTTGTGTGACTTTCTAAATCTTTCAGCTCCTGAAAGGTACAAGGTAACTTGCAAATGTTGTTGTAGGTGGTTAATCTCTTTACCCAGACACAGATCACGGCTTTGATTTACTGAATTCTCTAACTGTTCCTGTTCACAGTGCAACTCTGTGACTATTTTCTTCCACTATTTGATCTTAGGAAGTGGGTCTGGCCCACAAAAGCTCATCATCTAATAAACCATCTTGTTAGTCTTTAAAGTGCTACATTGTCCTGCATTTTGCTTCTGTTTACTAAAATTACTGAAAATTAGGTTGACTTGCTTGAATTTAGTATTTTAATAATTTAAAGCCAATATAAATGGAGAGGGCAGGGGGAATAGGACCTTTCCTTTCATGCTTCCATGTGGATTTGAATCTCATTTGTTCTGACCCCCGGTTTGTAGACTCTCACAAGAAAGGGGATGGTGGGAAAGCACCATAGTTTAGCCAGTGGCAGCCCATCAATACAGGCGAACTAGGCAGTTGCCTAGGGTGCCAAGATAAACGGCCATTGAGGGCTTTGGAGGCGGGGACGCCGATCGCACATTTCGCCTAGGGCACCAGTTGCTGGCAGCTTGTCTAGGGCCACTCCTGAATTTAACCATATCTCTAATTCCATTTGATGCTAACTGACAGCTTCCTTTTCATGTGCTGGTTTCCACTGGTGACTTAGGGAACTGGACTACTGAGCTTGCCGTTAGATGGTTTTGGTAGGGTAGTAAGGGCGAGTAGTCTTGCTCCTTTGCTTCGGTGTCGAGCAGGGCAGGTTGCTCAGATAGCTAGGTAGCCATGGGTTCATGGACAGCAAGCAGGTGAACCAGCAGTTAGGGGAGGCAGGTTCCCTCCCCCTTTCCCAGTTCCTCCCCTTCCTTTCGGCTGGAGGCCTTATCCCTTCCCCTTCCCTCTGCCCCTGATGGAGCCCAGAGCTCATGCTCCCCAATCTCAGCACCAGAGCATGGGGTGGGCAGGGAGCACAGGGCCGCAGCCCCTTTGGCCCCAACCCCCAAGCCCGAACTACTGTAGCTCCCCAGTCCCAGAGCGAGTGCCCTCAGCCCTTGCCTGGAGCAACAGGGTGGCGGTGTTGCCGCAGTGCTCCTGACTGGAGCGCCAGGCAGGGCACCAGCTCTAGCCTCCCGAAATCCCAGTGGCTGGCCAGCCAGTCCTGGCTCTGCCCAGGCCTGCACTGCTGGGCCACAAAAGAGTGGGAGCTCAACTCAGGTCAAGGCACCCTGGGAATGGTGCGTTGGCGGGGCCACACCAAGTGGTTTGGGGAGGCTCAGCCGCCCCTTGCCTGCAATATTCACTGCCTATGCATGGGCTGGAGATTAATGCTAGGACCTCTTTGAGAGTATAGTTCCAGAACGTTCACAAATGGGTGCCCAAGCGAGGCTTCCAAGGCCATATGTAGGCATCTAAATAAGCGGGTGGATTCTCAAAGATGCAGAGCATCAGGCATGCCAACGGGACTGGAGTCCAAGGGGGCAGCTGCCCCAGGGCCTGGTGATTCAAAAGGGTCTGAGGCTCCTGGCTGCAATAGCTGGAGCCCCAGGCTTTTTAAATTGCTGCCAGAGCAGCATGCAGCACACTCCACACAGTGCTGAGGGCTGCCGGAGGTAGGCACGGTGCACTCCCGGAGGCACTGAGGCTGCTGCAGCCAGCCACAGCTCCACCCCTTCCACCCAAGGCTCCACCCCTTATAGGGGCACAGAGCTGCTCTCCCCTGCCTCGCCCAAGGGCCCAGCCAGTCTCTCAGCCCCACTGCTGAGCACCCAGTAGCTCCATTGACTTCAGTGGGTCTAGGAGCATATCCTAGGACAGCTGCAGAGAGATGTCCAGCCTCTAAAGAGTACAGCCACACAACAAAGACAAGCTACAGTGGTTGGTGTGACGGGGCAGACAGGCCCCACACTGAAGGACAGGGGGTAGTGCAGGCCCAGCTGGCGGAGAAAGCTCCGCCCCTCCAGCCCTGCTGGGCATGCTCCCAGCAGAGCCTGGGTATAAAAGCAGAGGGAGCCTTGCAGCCGGGGAGACCACAGGAGGAGAGAGTAGACCAGGCTGGGCCAGTGTTTCTGCAGCAGCTGAGAATGAAGTCGCCGCCCGCGCCTGACACGGAGACAGAGCCAGCAGCCTCCAACCCCAGGGAGGCAGGAGCGCGCCCGCAACCCCGGCAGGTACCGACTCGGAGGCGAATGGGCACCAGGGGAACCAGGCCCCAGGGGAAGCGCGGCTTGGCGTGTATTGGCTGGATTCCCTGCCAAGGGGCAGGAGCCATAGTCCCTGCCCAAACGGCCCTGGGCTGGGACCTGGTGGAGAGGGAGGGCCCAGGTCCCCCTACCACCAATTTTCACTTCCCTGGATATTCCAAAGCCGTATTTACCCTACTAGAGGGGCATGAACCTTGTGTTGAGACTGGTAACGCTGTATTTACCCTGATAGAGGGGCATGAACCTTGCGTTGAGACTGGTAACGCCGTATTTACCCTGATAGAGGGGCATGAACTTTATGTTGGCTGGTAATGCCGTAGTTACCCTAATAGAGGGGCAGAGACTTTTATGTTGGGACTGCTAGGGTTGTATTCCCCCTGATAGAGCGGGCAACAGGACCTTAAGAGGGGGACACACCCCTCTCCAGGGGTGTACCCTGTGACAACTGGATATTAGAAAAAGCTATTTCACTAGGAGAGTGGGGAAGCACTGGAATGGGTTACCTAGGGAGGTGGTGGACTCTCCAACCCTAGAGGTTTTTAAGTCTCAGTTTGACAAAGCCCTGGCTGGGTTGATTTAGTTGGGATTGGTCCTGCCTTGGGCAGGGGGCTGGACTTGATGACCTCCTGAGGTCTCTTCTAGCTCTATGATTCTATGAAAAACAGACCAACAGCACTGAGTTTTAGAATCTGGGTCAGCTGCCTTCTGCTCCCGCTGTGGGGCTAGAAACAGTCATATAGACATTCAGACTTGGGCTGGAGCCTGACAGGGAGGGGCTTGGGCTGCCACCGGAGCCTGACTATGTCTCAGCTATTTTTAGTCACATCACTGTCCCAAGTCAGTTCAGCTTGGCTCTGAGTCTCAGTCATGGGAGTGTTTTTGCTCTGTAGGCATACCCCGTGGCATGGTTCCTGTATAAATGGTGACCCTTTTCTAAGATTCTGTACCACTGGCCAAAAATGTGAGAACCAAATCAAACGAAGACAGCCAACATAGCAATACTGATGCTGTTCTGAACTTTTTATTTCTTGGAAAATGCTGCATTATAAACACACATTAGTCCATCGATGTTTGCCATCTTTTTTTCACTTGCTTTGAAATGGTTACTGCGAGCACTTAGAGAAACACACTGAAAAGTTGCTTAGTGTGACCTTTGCGTGTATAAACAATTTTGCATCCTAACTGAAATGGTATTTTATAAATTTCCAAAACAATATTACTCAGTAAATCCAAACAGTCATCTGTATGTGTTTGCTAACCACAGAATATTATACGGACTAAATTTCCTCATTTTTTGTGATGGAAGTACACCAGTGTTGCTGAAAATTGTATTAGCACAGAAAATCTAGGAGTTATCTCCTCACTGGAACTAACAGGCCCTGCTTTTCAAGTGTGCCCCTCAGAAGTGATGGTCACCATAAAACCTTGAATGTCTTCCTGCACGTTATCCATTCCACTCCCCCCAAAAGTACAGACGACTAGAAGCATCTGAATGTTTTTTGTATCCCACCCTAAGCATACTTTTTGTAGAAGCAATTCCTCTAATAACCCAGAGGAACATGTCCATCATACACGCTCACATTTTCATTTGTGACTTGCAGAATTTACCAGCCACCCACTGTGTTGAGGACAAAACCAGAGGATGTTATGAAAGATGGGGACCACCTGCTAAGTCCAAGGACAGACCATAGTGAGAAGTTCAGCCCCACCCATCCCAGGCTGCTTGGAAAGTGGAAGATATCGGTGAGATCTCCTCTCATTTCTCTCCCTAGGCTCTACTTGGCTCAGGTTTCATGTTTTCACACCAGCTTCTGGCTAGCAGATGTCTGCTAAATTTGGTGCACTGGCTGCTTGAAAGGGAGGAACTCTCTCTCACCTCACTTGTCATCTACTGGGGGTGAGAGGGGTAAGAGAAGGGAACCTGCCTTGTATTCAACTTCTCCTATAGCTTTAGGGCTAGGGGTCCTCCTCACCAACAAATAGCAACAGAGTCTAGTACAGGAGTGCTCTATGCATTTCTTACACATTTGAATTATATTAATCATTAATGCGTGGGGTAGACAGAGTGTAAGACTATGCAGCATAGCTACCAGGCTTTGTATGACCGATGCAGCTTTTCACATCCTCTGCTGCTGTCCATAGCGAGAGCAGGACATTGACACAATTCTCCTCCATTGCCCCATGCTGCTCTTCAAAGTCTGAGGGCAGATGTAAAATTGACCAGCGTTGTGAATTTCCTGCTGCTTCTATCTAGCGCAGTCTGCCTTCAGATCCAGCAAGGCAACTTTGCTCTAGTTTACGCTGGAAAATTCTCTCAGACTGTAAGAATTAGACTTTTTTAGATGAAAGCTTAAATTTGAAGGGGCAGAGGGAATGGGTTAACAGTCCCAACATTTTGCTAACTCCTGAGAATAAAAACAGACATTCCAACTCCGTATTCATTTTTTTACCTTACTGTTTTTTGACGAAATCATGCAGCACCAGGCCTCGTTGTCCCCCTTTTGAAGATTCAAAGTGGATTAGGTAATGACTGTTATTGGACCAACTTTTGTTGGTGAGAGAGAAAAGCTTTCAAGTTGCACAGAGTCCTTCTTCACATCTGGGAAAGGTACGTAGAGTGTCACACAAGATAGAATAGATAGTTGATGTTAAGTATTTAGTCTACATTCTGGGGGACCATTCAAAGTGAAGATGTTTAGTGAAATTGGACCTTGTGGGACCCAACTACACAGCTCCCCCTAGTGGATACATTCCAACCTTCATAAGCCTTTATTTCCCTCTTTCAGCCAACTTGTGGTTTACATGCAATAAACTCTACTCGCTGCAATAATGATTGATTGTAGCCTTTCTAACAGATGAATAAAATTTACAGTTCAATTTAAAATCTTAAAAAATATTTTAAAATCCAAATCTTTAAATATTTTTTTAAAATATTAGTTTTGTCCACCCTTTGATAAGGAAAGAGCAATAAAGGGCAGGATTTTACATGTAAGAACATTTAAGAACAAGTACATAGGCTAAAAGGATGAAGAGCAATACAAATTTAAAACAAAAAATGTAGGTAAGTAAAACCAACATTACCTGCATTTTCTTTTTTATTTTACGGAAATCAAAACTAAATAGAGTTCATATGTAAAATAAAAAAAAAGTAGGGTGGAGAATTAGACAATTCTAGTTCACATTTAGAGGTACCCCTCTGTGGGTAAATATTAATCTTCCCAAATAATCCCATTGACTTCAGTAGGGTTATTTGCATGAGTGAATGTTCATCAGGTAAGAATTGCCTTATCAGATTTTGCCCTGACTTCACAAAGAGCAGGATCAGGCCCAGAATGTGACTAACATTTTAGTCATCGGATCTATTTTGGCTTCTTCTTGCGAAAAGGAAAATCCTTTTGAAACCTCGCAGCTATATAAATATAATATTATCTCTGCATGATCAGCAGCTGCAACAGTTTTCTGTACCAAGTAATCATGAAAAACAGATTCCAGGGCAACGAACCTGCTACTAGAAATATGAATGATATCTCTTTGTACCATTTGCTTTTCATGCGACTCCTGTCAGTTCATGGGTATTATCACATTTCACAAAGATTGTGAGATTAAGCAAGATGAAATGCCTTATGAAATGTGTGGCTTTGGGAAAATAAAGAACATATTATAGACATCTACTGAAGAATTTTACTTTTTGTGCATTAGAGAGAGAGAGAGTGAGAGAGCGAGAGAGAGAGAGAGATTCTCTGCCTTGAGCAAGGAACAATGCATTGTGATGCTACCGCTGGAGCTGCTCCTCGGGGAGGTGGTGTTCACTGAGTCACAGTTTCCATCCTGGTCTCCCTGTTGCTCTGGGCAGGGAGTGATCTGAACTGGGTTTATCTCAGAGCTTTCTGAGTTTGCTGACGTGCTGGCAGGCCACACACTGCCCTTCTGTTTTCTGCATCTCCCTGCCCACCTGCAGAGGGAAGGAAAGGGAATGTAGCAGCTCGGTGGAGCCTATTTCCCTTTCCATGGGGCGTGGGAGCAGTGGAATGGGTAGGAACAGGAGGGTGCCTTATGCCTTCCAATTGCCTTGCATGGCCGCACACTCAAGCTCACAAAAATGAAACAAAAGACAGGACTATGCAGCACTTTAAAGACTAACAAGATGGTTTATTAGGAGATGAGCTTTCGTGGGCCAGATCCACTTCCTCAGATCAAATTGTGGAAGACAATTGGCATGACCATATATACCAAAGGGATACAATAAAAAAAGTGAACACCTATAAAATTGAGAAAATGGGAAGTGTTAAGTGATCTTAATAAAAGGGCCTGCTACCAGCACCCCCGATAATTGTAGACACAGAGAGTGTAGAACATACAGGTACCTAAAAAGGGGCGCTGCAGCTCTCTGAGTGGAATTTATGTCCATCAGTGTTGGGCTGGGCTGGGCTGTCACCTTAAAGATTAGCAGACGCCTTCAGCCAGGGCAGCTAGGGGAGGTGACATGATGCCAGCACGGAGGGCATGCTTTATCCAAGGTTCCTGACCTTGAATTATAGGACAGAGCGGGGGTGTTCCAGAGACGGATACTTCCAACTAGCTGCTCTCCCTTTCCTCTGAGGGGTTCTACAGTGCCAGCAAGCATGCATTTGTGTGCACGTGTCCTGTGCATTACAACGGGCACAGGCAGGATGTAATTCAATTGAAGGGATGACAGCTTCCGCTGGCCTCTGGGCAAGATGTGGAGGGGCCTCTGTGCCCCCAGAAGGAGTGGGGTCAGGGGCAGTCAGCTACTCAGCGCCGGCCGGACCATGGCACTGGACACCCCGCTACCTCCAACAGCCCTCAGAGCTGCGTGGAGCATGCAGAACGGCACGCTGGTGATCATTTAAAGGGCCCGGGTCTCCAGTCACCACTGCTGCCACAGTAGCAGCTGGGAACCTCAGACTCCTTTGAATTGCTGGGCCCCAGGCAGCTGCTCCCTTTGCCCTCCCCCATCTCTGGCTCTGAATTCAATAGAGGCAAACGTCTTAAGTTTAATGCATCCTCTCTTCCCCTTTTCTTGTAACTGTTCCTAAGTTTGTCACAGTAATTCTTCTAGGGCTGAAATTGTCCTCTCATGTCAGCCAAAAGGTGATTTTTAAAACAAGTCTTACTGTAAAGATACTTGAGTTGTGAGCTCTTGGGATAATAGACTGATCCCGTTAGAATATTGTGCTAAAATTAGAATTTTTTGGCTAAGTAGTTTTCCATCCAAAAATGCTGATTTGTTGAAACCAGATTTTTTTGCAGCCCAGGGCCAGGTTTTTTGAATGTCTCGAATCAATTTTTTTCTCAATATGAAGAATTGCAGTTTTCTGGTTCAGAATGGTTTTTTTCATTTAGAAATGTAAGCTAACAATGAGTGAGTGAGTGAAAGATAATTGGTGAGAATTGACCTGGTCTGAATTTTTTCCCCTTCCCAATATTTCTTTCACGAAAGCTTTTGACTTTTTGATCCAATTTGGTCTGGGAATTTTTTTTTATATCAAATTTTTCAAGGGATGAGAGAGTCATTTTCCATCTGGCTTTACTTAAAAAAACCCACAAAAAAACCCTGAAGAGTAGTATACTTCAGTCTGTGCAGTATTGCCTTGTGTTTCATATATGAATTACTTTGAGCATTCATATGCTAAGCTTAGCTACTACGGCTCATCTTATTTTGTTATCTATTTTAAGGACCATCTCTGTCTGTTGCAGTTAGCAGATTTTAGAGGTAATATGACAATGGCTGAAGATGAAACTTTTTTGTTTTGTTTTGTAGCTCTCATTGATATTGAAGGTAAAGAAAAAAAGCACATGATAAAGTTCGTACAGGCAGAAGCATTATAAGATTGAAATTTCATGCACGTGTGGAAAAATCATGTATTTTTTCTTTAAAAAGATTTATAAAGTCGGGTAGGTTTAGGATGTTTGGGTGATAAACTGCTGGAAATTGGAAGAAATCTCAGTCTTAAATTCAGTTTAAAGCACTGCTATGGCTCCAAAGTGTGGCCACAGCACGAGCACTGGGAGAGAGATCTCCCGGGGACTACGTCTAGCAAAAGCCCATTGAAAAAGCTATCTGCTTTTTCGAAAGATAGCATCCATACTGAATGGACGCTGTCTCACATTTAAGCTGTGATTACCATGGACAGAATGGCCACCAGGGCACCTGTGCTTTTTTCTCTTTCCTCTTCTTTCAAAAGAACTTCTTCCCCGTCCACGCACGCCTTTTTTCGAAAGAGCTCTTTTGGAAAAAGGTTTCTTCCTCGTCGAAAGAGGTTTACCAATGTCAGAAAAACCCCTCTGTTCTTTCAATGTTTTTTTCGAAAGAATGTGTTTGCAGTGTGGACATAAGTGAAGGTTTTTCGGAAAAACGGCTGTTTTTCTGAAAGAACTCTGCTGTGTAGACATACCCCCAGAGCTCTATGTAAACCATCTCCACAGAGTAGAAAACAGTTCTGTAGCCTGATTCACTCTGGCACTTTACAACCCTGTAACTTGCTGCACTCAGGGAAGAGGAATGGTTTTTCACACCTCTGAGCCAGAAAGTTCCAGAGCTGTAAAATGCCAGTGTAGACCGAGCCTCAGTGTGACATAATGCCAAGTGTTTAGACAGTTTCTGGTTTGAGTCGGTGGAAAGTTCATTGGGAATTTGCTACATTTTTCACATTCCAGGCCGCCTGGAGATTGGGATAAGCCAAAAGTTGAGCTGGTCCCAATTTGGGAAAGATGGAATGGGAGGCAGTCAAGGCTCGAGAGAGTAGAACCTGACAGCACACATAAACAGAAAGGAGTGAGAAAGCAACAGACATAGGTTCTGGTTCAACAAGGCACTTGAGCACATTTAGCCTTAAGCATGTGATGGCCCTTTTGGCTTCCGTGTACTCACGTGCTTTGCTAGAAGGGAGCGGTAGTCCTTAGACTATAGAGAGGTGGGAGCAGAAAGAGAACTCCCAGAGCAGTACTGAACATCACCATTGAGTTAGCAGCCGTTTGGAAGCTGTAGCGAGTGTAGAATACTGCAGCTAGCTCCTTTATTAAGTGGAGTTGCACTTCAGCAGCACATTAAGCCAGAGCTCTGGGATCTGCATTGGCTTCCAATGAGCTGTCAGTTCAGCTGATAAAGCCCTACATGGTTTGGGAGCTGGGCTTTCTCATTGGGCCACATGGACACACCTGCTGAGATCAATAGAGGCGCTGCAAATCCTCCTTCCAATCTGTTTGTCAGGGCTCGTAAGGAGGGTGTGGGCTCAGACAAATATTCATGGACAGTCCTTTTGTTTGTGCTGTGATTCTCCACTAAGGGGCTAAGCACTGGGGACAGGTGCCCTTTGCTGCATTTTAGCAAATGGAAACAATACATAAATCACAGACTAATCCATGTTGGGGAATTCCATCCAGCTGATTAATGTCTCAGCTTTATTGAACAATATTTCTAATGTCACAAAATGCATTTAAAGAAACATTCTGACTGAAAGCAATAAAGGCAATAGTATAACTGCCATGCGCAGGAGGTGTGAAAATAGAAATAAATGTGTTAACGTGTCAAGGTTTTTGTTTTTGTTCTAGTAACAAAACAGAATTCCCAGAAATCTTTGAGAGTAA